GTGGAGCACTGGCCTCTTTCCTGATGCGAGGAAGGATGTAAAAACAATGGTTTCCTCTTTAAAGTAAACAGAGACACTATTTGTAGTCTCTTTAATACTATTGTATTTCTACAGTCTACTATACACCTGTAATACAGGTGATTTTTGAGTACAGATAAACCCAAAAAATACACACTGATCATCTACTGTCCACAAATGATATTCAATTTCAATGTGTATGGAAAAGTACCTACATCTGCACAGAAAATGGGATACACGACATTAATGCATATGCGCTGCGTCTCCTATTCTTCCATAGGATCAGTTTACTAAATTGCATTGTAACCAGGTTTATTATTTTATCACATTATAATTTAAACATCTAAGACATTCAGTTCACATGAAAATATACATAGGTGTGAAATAGTTTTTGTTACAGTAGATATTTACCCTTTGAAGTACTCTGGGTGAAATTCATTGTTTGTCTTTACTGGAATGGCTCAATAATCTCCTTTCCTCAATAGACCCCTTCAGACAATTATTGCCAGCCAGCTGCTAGTTGTATTTTAAATTGGAGCTCAAGTCAAAAACTTTTTTCTAGGTTTGGATAGAATATGGAAAGGTTAGAACCTTTTTAAGTTTTCTCTATGCTCCTATTGGAGAAATTCACATACTTTTTAATTACCGATACTGGGACAGAAAGTGAGAGCTAATGCACAACTGAACCTTCGGTATAAATACATTTCAAGTGCATCAAAACAAAAGGTGTACAAAAAAATCTTGCAGTTCATTTTCTTTAGACAGCAGAGTAGAATAGAAGAGTCTGTCCCGTGCCAGAATGCTGCAGAGAAGGAACCTCGCTCTCTGTGTAGAAACTGGTCTCCATGCAGAGGACTGACATGCATCCCCTCCCCTTGTTGGGTTAGAACAAGAACTCTTCAATGAACAAGGAGCATGAGCTTTGCTGATTGCGGCATTATGTCTGACTCTGCAGACCTCTGGAGAGAGACTACTGCTTCACCACAGTGGTCTGGTCTTGAGTCCTTCTCTGCAGCATTCTAGCATGTGCCAGTTCACGAGAGCCAGCATAGATGCCATAATGAGGTTATATCAAGTTCATGCCTCCTTCTGTAGTAACATACTGTTGCAGAGTACAATGGTTCAAATTCAGGCTTGGGAACATACAAACAGTGTCAACCCTAAGGACTTATTCTTACCTATTTTTGGTACAATCAGTTTTCTAAATCACATAAAAGGTATACGGGTATAAAGGTGTAGGCCTATATCAAACAAATATTAAACAATATAGGGGCCTGTGTTGAGTGACTTCAATGGCAATGGCATCACTTTGAGATGGTTCTGAGACCATTCAGAAATCATTGACATGTGCATTTGATCTGCAGTTGACCTGCTTCTAACCTGCATTTGACCTGATTTAAGAAGCATTGTATTCCCATAGACCCCTATGGGAATGCAAAACCCGTCTGAAGCTCACAAAACCCATAGACACAGGCCTGTGATTGATATGTGGTCACCATGTGCCAGTTCACTGTATCTTCACATTGAATAGACCAGAGTGAATACGTAAACAATAGTGAGTACACAGTATAGGCTGGGATGGCCTAATCTGTAGACTTGATTTTCCTGTGGATGGACAGTTGATAATGTAGGTAATCATGTTTGTTATAGAGCACATAGGCTGTTCACTTAGCAAGGGGATAGCTTATTGAATGTTGTGAAAGTACACTTTGAAAAGAATATCCAATCACAAGAAAGGAAAAAAACAAAACAGTATTTTAGCTTGGACATGATTGGACAAAGGAAGTCAGCAGAGCTTCACCTCATTCACTAATCTAAGTCAAAACTCCCCTGCAAAGTGAACAGCCTACATGCCTTTAGTAAATCAACCCAATGGAATTTTTGCTTCCATTGGGTCACTCAGGATAAGCACAAATTGGCTGTGGATACAGGCCTAAAAAACCCGACCGAACAGTGACTGCAGCCAATCAGCTTGGGTATTCTGAAAGCGCACATCTGACACTATCGGAATACAATAGACTTGTGTGGTAAAATGACTAGATTATGGCAGCGGATCCTGAACACAGGGAAGCTGAATAAGGCGTACATCTACTCTACAGCCCAGCTGCAGGTTTGGCGTTCATCTCTCCCAACACCTTTTTTTTTTTTAAATTGTGCATGCATAAATGTTTTCCTGCTCTCTTCTGCCCGGTCACATTAGGTCATGGTTCCTTCTTCTATTCTGCTGTGCCGCCTGTGGGTAGTCCTGAATTCTGCAGAGAATGGCGCTCTGCAACACATCTTGAAAAAATGACACCCACAATAAAGTTTGTGCAACACCTTGATTCAAGAATGTGAACCCACTCCCAACATTTTATGGAGGCAGGAGAAGTCCCCTTTCTCTCTGCAGAGCAACAGGTAGATGATCTTATCAGTCTGCTGCTTCTCTTTTCATTGCCATTTGCAGGCTGGGGGAGGGACAAGACCTGTCAATGTTACTTAACTTTAGCAGAGAAAAATCAGGTCTCCTCCTATGCCAGACAGAGCTGTGTAAGTCTCAGGACTGAATGGACAGAAAAACAAATTATTTGCCAGGTAAAACATGTCCCATGTATGGATTTCATCTGTGAAGTTAGCTGTTTGTGTAAGGTTCTGCTGTAACACACAAATATATGTAACACACAAATATATAGTCTGCTAACACCTAAGTAGAGTTAACATCAACTATATTTTTATGTAACTGCATGCATACTAAGTAAGTGTAGCACTTCCAGGGATTTATTACCTCTCGCAGAGATCACAGTGCTTCCCCTGACAATGCCATCATCAGTATTTCCCAACATCCAATGTCAGCTTTTAGAGGCTGGGGTGATGACATTTCTTTTATCATGTGACAGTGCTGAGGTCAGAGATTGGCCACTAAGCCCAAACATTGAATCATAGGAGGTCAGATCCAGTACTGGAAGCACCCGGAAGGAGTAGCAGGAGAGCATGGAGAGGTGGGTATCATTTGGTTGAGGTGGGGTGCGGCACCTGTGGTGGTCAACATTCTTAATATAGGGGGTTTCAAGTGAGGTCCCTGGCATTACAAAAGGGCCACACATGGTATTCAGTGAATGTAATGCAACAGGAAGTTGCCAGAGACTACTAACATGCTGCAAGAGATGGTAAGGGACTACTAACATGCAACAGGAGATGGTCAGAGACTACTAACATGCTGCAGGAGATGGTGAGACTACTAACATGCTGCAGGAGATATTCACTGACTGCAAACATGCTGTAGGAGATAGTCAGAGATTATGGGAATGCTGGAGACTAGGGACATGGTTCAGGAGACAGTCACTGACTGGACTCAATACATGGTAGATACCAGTCAGGTGGGTGCTGGAAGTGACTGCAGATGCCTTCGCATATCAAACATAACAAGTCAAAAAGTCACTCGCACTCCATTTCAAATTATAGTCAATCTTCTTTATTGACCATAGTAGTGTCACATTGCTAAAGCAATGTTTCGGAACCAAGTGGTCCCTTCTTCATGCAAACAAAAGTCAGACTGGAGACACATAAACATGAGGATGCACGAGATCACTGCTCTTAGGCTCACATGGGTGGCAAACACAGGTGGTTGATCAGCATTTTATCTGTCCCCTTACTGCCTACCTACACAATAACAGGGTGTGTACTAGGTCTGTATACACTGCATTGTCTGTTAATTCGGCATGTCACGTTGGGCAGGTGGTGCTGCTTGCTAAATGTGCCCATTGAAGTCAATGGGACCATGATGCAACCATGTACCAATGGTATTTTAATGTAGAATCCCCTTTGGAATTGAACTCCCCCCAGACATTCAGGAGGCGGCAGTTTTGCCTCCCGACCGCCTTCAAACTGCCTCTCAGTCGCCGGTAAAGTCCACCTGCCGTGTGAATGAGGTCTTACTGCCCCTTTACAACCCATGATTCCACATTTGTGCTCCCTGCAGCCCCCCCTAAAATTGACTTGTGCCACATTTAATATTTCTCTCAGCAACTTACATTATATAAAAAGGACAGAAAAAATATGACAGAGTGAAAGAAACAAGGCAAGCAGCCAGTCTACGGAATATTTTGTATTCATCGGCTGTTGTAAGTAATGATGTGCAGCGGTGTTCGCCCAAGCCTGCGCAAAACTGTCACTGACACCGGATCAGTTGCAGCCGGGGCATTCTCCACCCCTTTGTGACATGGGAATGCACCTCCACAACTGATTGGGCCAGGAGGGGGCGCTGCCAGTGACAGTTTTCCATGAGTGAACTTAGTTTGCGCCAAGCCCCCCAATACCCCCCCGCCCCCCACTAGCAGTAAATACCAAAACATAGATTAGTGTCTTTAGGGGCCCCAGAGCGCCGCATGTGTCCCCGCGGGGAAACAGGAACATAGACCTTGTCCCTTTGCCATGAATTAACAAGGTGACAGGGTCTCTTTATGGATAAAAGATGCGTCTTTTTGTTCTTGAAGCATTCCGCCGCCGCTGTATATTGTGACATGTCAGGAATGCCTTCATGCAAACTTTTTCTGACGGGTCCACTTTAGTAGCAGCGAAACAAAAGCACTGCAATTTTTTTGCAGCATAAACTAAATACTTTCAGGTCACTTGGTTCAAAAACAAGAAAAATAGGAATTAAAACACATGCTACCACTTAACAGAGAGAAGGGGGAAAGAAAAAAAAAACTTCCTTAATCATTCACAAATGTGGAGTGCATGTGATTTCTCAAGCACATCATTTTCAACTCTAAATGTGTTATTTATTTTTTTGTTTCCTTGTAGTTATCCCCCCAGCCCCCTCTCCTCTGCTCATCCAGTTCAGGAACAGTTGATTTTGCAAGTTTGAAAAATGTTTAATCCCTTCCCCACCCCACCCCCCTCCCTTTTCTCGGCCTCCTGGCTTGCAGCACTTCAGGGGTTAACAGTGATTGAAGGCTCTTTGAAGATGGGATGAAAGGAATAGCTGCTGGAGACTCTGCGCGCTCATTGGTCCGGCTGCCTTCAAAGGACTCTTTTTCTTAACCAGAGGGGGGAGTCTGGCTTTAAGAAAGGAATTCAGAAATCCCAGGTCCTAGCAGAGCCGCGAACGCAGAGGAAGACTTGAACTCGCTGGGAAAAATCCCCAGCCGCCCCGTTTTAAGAGAAAATCAAAGCCACGTTATTAGAACTCCCCGGGAAGAGACGGGGAACGGCAGCGGAATTTTTTGAAGCGACTTTACGCGGTTTGTAAGAAGAGGCGCCTCTATGGAGCTTCCAGGACGCAGCTTTCAGTGATCTCCACTGATGTTTCATTAAAGCCATAACACCCCTTTGTTCTTTTGGCTTTGTCCCCAGGGGGAGTGAAAAAGGGCTTTTTGGTTTTGTTTAAAAAAAAAAAAAAAAGTTCAGAGAAAAGAGAGAGGAGGGAGAGGAGAGGGATCCTTCCAGTTCTAACTCACCCGAGGAAGGTGGGAGCTCTCCTGCTTTCTCCAGCCTGGATTACAACTCGGATTGTACATGGGATCAGCCATGAGTGAGCCGCCCCGGCCCGCTGGATTACTTCTCTTCTAAACCGGAGCGTACCGACAGCCAGGATCTGCTTAAGAAGGTGAGTGCTCCCCCGACTGCCTGCGAACCTCTCCGGCCGGTGTGCGATCTGCCCCGCTACGGGCTCCCCGGTGTCCCAGCACCATCGAATGCTCCCCCCCCCACCTCTTTCCAAACTCCCCAACTGTGCACCGGATCTGCCGGTCTGATCACAGCAAAGTCATACACCGAGCAACTTGGCTCCCCTCTTTCTACAGTGGTCTGTGTATGTCTGACTCCCCAGATGACTTTCCCTCTGGTATTTTAAACTTTTATATTTGTACTTTGTATTTTTTGGGATATCATTTTTTTTTTTTCGTACCAAGCGATTCGGATCTCTAGCCCCCGGCTCTGGATAGCTGTCCCTGAAAGTATACCGGACCCACTCTCATCAACATTACACTGAAATCCCCAATTCAGGTCTTCCCCCTATATATCTGGGTCATATGGACACCCTGGGCAAGTGATCTTATTTTTGGCTCAGGATCAGAAGAGGGTCTAAGCCACTTTGATCAACTTTACAATGAAATTCCCCTTTTCCCCAATGCTGCCTCCAGCTGTATACATGTTATCCTGGCTTTCTGTACAGCAATAGTGATCGGATGGTCACAGATATGTCCCTGGAAATGGACCTGATCAGCACTAAGCAACTTTTTTTTTTTTAAATGAAATTCTCCTTTCTGCAATGCTGCCTCCAGCTCTCTACATGTTATCCTGGCCTCATGGACATGCTTGCCAAGTGATGTGATTTGTGGCCCCAGCATCTGAGTATCAGTCCCTAGAACAGGATCTGATCAACTTTACAATTAAATCCTTATTTTCCCAAAGGGGGCCTCCAGGTCTTTACATGTTATCCTGGCCTCATGGGCACCTTGCCAAGTGATTTGATCATCACAGAATATCTGTCCCTGGAAGTGGACATGATCAACAATAATCAACTTTTTCAATGAAATTGCCTTTTCTCCAGGGACTATTAGTTGTGTGCCTATAGGTGGCAGAGGTGGTTTTTCTATATATGATTATTGAACATGTTTTCCCATCATCTGTAGGGACAGTCATGTTTACCAAGTTGGGACCAGGAAAACAAGGACTTGCCCTGTGCTGGCAGACAGGGGGGTTACTTGAGGCACCAACACTTGTGTGCCCACAGGCTCAGCTAATGGTTGACTTACCATTAAAGTTTACCAACAAAAGTTTTGTTTGTTTTTAGTGTTGGATACAGTGAGGAAGGGTTAGATACCCTCAGTTCTCTTTCCTGTGCCCCAAATTCTCCCTCGTTTGTCCTGATGACCATTGCCAGTGGGACTGGATTTGAGTGAAAATCCCAAAATTTCCCTCGTTTGTCCTGATGACCATTGCCAGTGGGACTGGATTTGAGGGAAAATCCCAAAATTTTGAGTTGTCCCCAAAATATGAATAGAAGGGGTAACCTTCCAACTGTTTAGAGGAGGATTTCCTTTCCTTTAGAAAGATCTTCTCTCACTTCCTGTGGTGTGTTTGAGACAGGAAGTGAAGGAAAAATCTCTCCAATGGGTCAAAGACCGCAAAAAAAAAAAGTTTTGTCCGAAGGTATACTCATCACACCATTGCCAAGTGATTTTGATTTTTCAGTCCCAGGCTCTGTATGTGTTTCTGAAAATTGACCTGATCCGCTCTGATCAACTTTATAATACAATTTCCTTTTCCCAATGCTGCGTTACTACCTAAGTGGTGCATTTGAAACAGTTTCCCATTTTCTAAATCTTATCATAATGGGGATTGCTTTGTAAAAGTGAATGAGCAATATCTTGTCCTTGGAAATGGTTTTGAGATGCTTGTGGCGTGGTGGCTGTGTGATTTGGTTTCTTTGCATTTAATCTTTTCATGGAAGTTTGAATGCACTTTATTGCCTGACGTTCCCAGTTTTCTCCATGTGGGATGTAATGGATACTAGCGTGGCGTAGCCTCCCCCCCTCCCCTTGATGTGTAGTCAAGTCCTTTCTAAAGTAATGAGCTGTGTTTTTGTGTTGTGGCCTAGAGGTTCTGATTAATTCAGAACGATTCCTTTTCTTGTAGACCTGCAAGGGCGGCTTGTACCGCGTCAGGTTCTAATAATGTTGTGCGGACGCTTGGTTATCAAAGTATGCAGTGTGTTCCAGTGGAAGAGGATACTACACCCCCGCCAAGCTAAATATTTTCTGAAAGGTCGTTCTCACCTACCCCACTATGGGAAACGAGAGGCATCAATTTGCAGAGAGGCTTTCATGTCCTGTGCAGTCCAAAGCTTGCTCTGTGTCACAGCAGGAGGCTATGGATGCAGCCCCCAAGTGTCACGCTTTGAAATGAAGTTAACCGGACACCAACAGACTCCTTAATTGGGGGTCAGATGTAGGGAAATTATCTCATAGTCTCAGTTTACCAAAAAGATCGGAGTCTTTACTCAATGGGCTGGTGAATTGAAGCTAAGAAAAGCGGAGACGTTGTCCATGGCAACTAATTTCCTTCTAGTGCCTGCCAGGGTCCAGTGCTTTGCCGTGCAGGCATTACTGTGGGTGGTGTTAAGGCAGCCAATTCATTTTCAGCCAGCTGCCAATGCATATTTTAATAGACCTATACACTTTTCGAATATTTATCATGGAGAACATCAGCACGTTGTGTTGCGCTAAAATGCACATTTGGGGTGCGCTAGGCCGCAATTTAAGGACCACTGCTGCACACCAGACGTAACCATGTGTTACTACGTGGTGGTCTGGCTTTACACTGTGGCCTGTAGTGTCCTATTAGTTTATGGAGAACCAGACACCCTCAGAATCTGGGACTGTTGCCCATAGTAACCAATCAGCTTCTCTTTCCAGTTTAAGTTTTGAAAAAGAGATGCTGATTGGTTTCCATGGGCAACTGCTCCAGATTCTGTTTGCTCCAGTTTTCATAAATCCCCCTGATTTATTTTTTGTTCTATTAATTTAAGACCTCAAAAATGTTGTTGTTGAGCAGATTTGAGTCGCAGCATGCAAACAGGCCTAGAGTTGCTATGAGCAACAGCCGTATTGTTAGCATTCCCGTTTTTATATAGGAGCTGCAGTGTGACCCATCACAGCTCTCATGCTGTCTGTAGGCGAGGGGCAAAGTGGGCCTCAACTGTATAGTATTTCATGAGAATTGGTGAAATATTTCTTGCTTCCCTTATCCGCAAATGCCTGTGAACTTGTACCTATAAAAGTGTTCAAACATCTGGATATATTGGACACATTCACTGGTATGCTGGGGAAGAGAGAGCCTTTGGCCCACCTGTTGTGAATAATTTCTCTTGAAAACTCTACAGGGCGACAGGGTATGGCGTAAGTCATGTTGAAAAGGAGGAAAATGGATCCCAGATGGCCATTTACTTGTAATAGAAACTTGCAGTTCCGGAGGAGTTATGGGCTGCAGTCTAAAGTGGATTCTTCCCTTAATGCACACTTAATGATTAACGAGAAACTTTATGAAGCCAAGAGCAAAAACACATTTTCACAACCGAATTTTGTGTATGTTTTGATGGGCGGTGTACAGACTGCAGGATTATTCAGGAAATCTTTAGAAATGTCACTATCTATCGCCTGGCATATCTTATTGGCTGAAGTGATAACGGCGGATGGTCCGTGTCATGGGGATGTAGTGCATCCTTTTCCCTGAGACGCTGCAAGTTTGTCTGAGCTCTCTACTGGTTCAGCACACAATGAATGCTGCAGGGCCCATTTACAAAGTGATTACAATTTTTTTTTTTTCAGTTTTTGCTAACCTCAATTTATAAATCTGCCCTGCAGGACGCAGATGCAACTTTATTATTGATTTACAATGCTGGGTTTCAGTCCTAGTAGATGGCTCCTGGCCATATTTACAATAAGGCACTTATGAGTGATGTACACAGGATAACAGTCTGAGAAAAGAAGGCAGCAGTGAAGGGCAACATTTCCAACTTGTGATTTGCTGGTTTAAGCATCAAACCTGTAGAGAAGGTCTGTGTAAGATTTTAAGGGGTGTCCTAAGACTCTCTGTAGCCAGTGGCATGCCATCTCCATTCCTTTTATGTACAGGCACTTGATTGGTGGACTTGTAGCTTTATGTTTAGACCATTGTGTTGGCGTTTTTGGTTGGTAAGCTGGGCTTTGCCTGTACAAGAGGCCATTGCTTTTCAGTCATCATACATCAGAGGCCTCCACTGAAATCCACACAGCAGCTTTATTATGTTTACTCTTTTGATTTAGCCTTTTATTCAAATAGGTGTGTCTCTGGTTGTTTCATATACTATAATAAAGGTTGTGACACTGTTCACTTTAAATTTGCAAATGCATCTTATGAGTCATTTACTAACATGTCCTTTTCTTTTATCAGACATTTGTCACAACTTCTGGCAGCCATGAGTTCTGCTGGGGTGCTGACCTGCATGCCAGACTCAGGACGAATCTTCAGGGAGACTTCTATGCGCCCACCAGTGCCAGGCCAGGAGACCAAGAACTACAAGGTAAGCTTTTATTACTTATAAAGAGATGCCCTTTGGTCCATGCCCAGAGTACACATGGGTAATATTTGGACAAGACAGTACAACATTCACAAACAATACTCTGCAACACATTCAGGATACTATAACTGCTTGTTACAAAGTTGTCAATGACTTCAGACATAATCTAAACCTTTTTGAGGTTAGCTTTATAAGGAAAGCAGAGTAATACAAGTTCCTTTTCAATAAATGTGATTTATTTCTATTAGATTATGGTCCTCATGTAAAGAATAGCAGTAGATACTCAGTGCATCCAATCAGAATGAAGATGGGACCATCTTTAGACAGCTAACAACATTTCTTTCGCCAAATGTTTTTATAGCACAGGTCTATTAGTAGTTGATGAAGCTTACCATTGAGTATGATGCTAATCAAATATTTTTTCTCTCAATTACTCAAGACTGAAAAATTCAGTATGGAGCCACAATGTTTTGAGCAACAAATAAAGCACAAGGAAGAGTCCTTTAGGGAGGCCGAAGGTTGCGTTGCCAATGACACGCGCTTCTCTCGGTGGGGCAGATCCCTCAATCTTTTGTTGGATGATCAAGATGGTGCTACTCTTTTTCGGATGTACCTGGAAGGGCAGGGCCTGGTGGACCTTCTAAGCTTTTGGTTTGCTTGCAATGGCTTTAGAGCCATGGAACCGACAGAACCCAAGACATCAAAGACTGCCAAAGCCATATATCGTTGGTATGTACAAAATAGCCAAGCTGTTTCGGGACGTTTAAAGCCAGCCACAAGGGCCCAAGTGAAGGAATGTGTAAAGAACCAACAGCTGAATAGGACTCTGTTTGACCAGGCTCAGCAGGAGATTCAGAGGGCCATGGAGCAAGAGGCCTTTCCTTCCTTTTTGCAATCTGACATATGCAAGGAATACGCTCATGCTGTGGACAGTCCCGTTCCGGATAGCCCTGGACCTGGTCTCCCAACTCTGGCTGAGGATGAGGAATTTGGTGGGTTCCACAACTATAATGTTGGCTTGGGAGCAATGGGGAAACGAAACCGTGCCTTCTCACGATTGCCGCCTAGAAACCAAAGGTGAGTACCAGGAAAACAAACCAGTTCCTTTTTTCATGTCATTTTCTACTCTTTTAAAATAGTTGTTAATTTTTGCATTTGTTAGTATTCCTTTTAAGCTAATGATGGGTTAATTTTTTTTTTTCTTTTTACTTCAAGCTATTTTGTTTGTTCTCCTGCACTTTTTCTTCATTTTCTTTGTTCCTCCCCTCCTTGTGTTAAAGGTTAACTTAGCTGTTATTCCTTTCCCTGAGCTCACATATCTTTGATGTGAACAAAATCTCTCCCTGCTCCAGAGATCAAAGAAGCAGATCCATGAAGCGGGCCGGGTTTTTTTTTTCTCCCTCTGTGCTTCCCCCCCCTCCCTCCCAAGATGCCTTGCTGTTTCAAAGCCTTATCTTATAATGACTTTTTTTTTTTTAAATAACAGTTATTCTTTTTTATGGCTTATGCTGGATTAGATAGTAAATCTGTTAGAAGCATCAGTTTGGAAGATATATTTGAGCTACAGCTCTTTTTTTTTTTTTTTTTATTTTGATTGTCCAAACTTCTTGCTAGTAAAAAATAAAATGCATACAGTCAAGTTCCCTTTTGGAAAATCTTTTTCTTTTGCCTAACACTCAAACAAGGAAGATGATTTGATACAATAACTACGGTTACATTAACTGCTCACATGAGAAGTTCACTGAGCTAGAGATATTCCAGGGAAAAGTTTGTGTGGGAGTAGATTTTACAGATAACACCTTCAGGTAGGCTCATGTAGAAATTGGGTTTCCTTTTTGATATGATTACTAGGTATCCTATATCCATGTCAAGTTGGCATGCCCTCTTAGTCTGTCAGGTCTTACCAGGAAGAGGGGCATAGCTTTAAGTTAAAGGTTATGAAGACATTGAGCACTGTTTTGACAATGGGATGTGTATGTTCACTGGTTTGTGGTCCCTACTATTGGGACCCACTAACAAGCCTCTCCTGAAAGAGGCTGTATACTCACCTGACTTCTGCCCTTTTCCCGATCTTCACTCTCTTGCAAATCAAAGCCTCTTAATCTCTTAATCTTCCTGATGTGTTGGAAACAACCCACCCTTCCCTGTGGGTGCACTCTGTGGCTCCCCCTGCAGGCGTCTGCGTCACTGTAGGGCATAGCAAGGACGAAGGGGCCTGCAGAAGAAACAATGGTGTGCTGTCTAGGCATCCCACACTCTTGAAAGTGTCAGATTTGTAGATTGTTCAGGTGGCCATAGCTTTTGAAACCAGAGAGGATTGGATGGGGTGGCTGCACTGGTAAGTTTAAAACCTTTTCTTTTGAAGATCAAGACATTCAAAAGAAGATGTTTTAAACTTCCCAGTCCAGTCATACCATCCAATCCTCACTGGTCCATATTGACATTTCCATTCTTTGACAATTTTTGGCCACACAATTGCTTTAATGGTGCAGTTAAAACTCGATTCCCCATTTTAGAAATGTTTTTCATCAGTTACCTGATTTAACATTTTTAAGCTAAAAAGTTTAGTATATAATTTAATCCATATCTTTTGCAGATCCCATCTGCGGAAGACCGAACCTGCCTACCAGTACTTTGCCCCTGCGGCAAGTATCAATGACAGTGAAATTTCAAGCGATGCCCTGACAGAAGACAGTATGTCTATAACAGATGGTAGTGTGTAAGTATTTGATCTTTACATAACATAACAATATCAAATGCATATTTCTCTGCCACGAACTGACATCCTCTAGTGATAACATTAGGGTTATCATTTCCAATATTAAACTCCATGATCTGGTACATGAGAGTTCCTAAAACAAATAACATAACATGAGGGGAAATGGTTGCATCCCAAAAGGAAATGCAGGAGTTAGAAAAATAATTCCACATGCTTGGACATGTTCAGATGTCTTTGGCACATGGTCATGTGGGCCTTGGTTCTTTCAGCATGTAGACTGCCAGAGGGTACAGGTCAAGAAACACATGGCCTCTTGATTTTTATTTTCCTATTGTTAAAGACCATGCATGGAATTTTGTTGCTCACTGTGATGATGTTGCCAAGTGCATTGCTTCCATAAGTGGTGGTGTGCGTTCACTTGGCTGTTTGGTACCTTCACAGCTGAAAGAGCCCATCATATTTGTTCCTTGTAACAGTTCAATGTGCACACTTAAAACAGCAGTGATATACTGTAAGTTACTGGAGAATATTATTGCATCATATAGGCCATGGAGCCCCAGGCAAATGGTTTAAACACTTCTTAGTCCAGTTATGGTTTCAGTTAAAACTGTTAAAGGAGAACTATGGGGTTAAGGCTTTTCCCCATAGTTCTCCTTAGGGTAACGGGAGGACACGTCCTCCCGTCACCCTAGGCTCAGTCAACCGCGAGCTGTTGCTGGCGGTTGACTGAAATCAGTTAAGCTCCATTATAATACATCATTATATGCATTTTTAAAATGCAAGCCATGTAGTTACCTGAATTTTACTTTAGATCAGCCTCTTGCAATCCCTTGTGTAATAGAGCTCAATGGAAGTAATAGTACAAGGAGCCAATTGGTTGTGCTGCTGTGCTCATGTGCTAGCAAGGAACATGCTGAAAGGAGGAGGGAGCAAAGTGCTAGAGCATTGAGTCTTTTGCTTCTCCTTTTATTTTCTAATCACAGCTAGGGGAGTGACCTGACCTGTAAGTTTTACTTGACTGCAGCACAGAAAAATCACATTTCAAGCCTTGCCAGACAGGCCTGTGCTGCGTGTCAGCTGGATAGACATATCCCAGAAAAAAATCGGTTCCAGGTTTTAGGCATTGGGAGGTTTTTAGGCCATGTATAATGAGAAAGGTACAAGGATGTTCTCTTCAGTCACATAATGCTCTTGCACAATCTAGTAACCTTGCTACAAAGCTGCAGTAGGGAATGGTGGGGTCTCCTTCCTAACCTTGATTTTATTTGACCACTTGTGAGTCACATATCTGTCATACTTCAAACTGTTACAGACCTTCACTACTTGTATTATAAAACTAAAAAATGTTTTCATCTTCCTAACAGAGATGGAGTTCCACCATACCGCTCCAAAAAGCAAAGGGAAATCCATAGAAGTGTCAGTACCAATGGACAAGTGCCTCTGCCTTTTGTTCCTGTAAGTATTTTGTGAAGTTTCTGCATAGATGATACAAAATAAAAGCGTAGATCAAACATACCTTCTATTATGTCTTGTCCACCTGTATTAAAGTCTCCCCCTCATAAGAAAGTATGTAGCTGCCATTGCAAGACTCATGTAAATGCTAGATGCCTGGCTTTGGTATGTTTCTGTTAAGTCCCAGAACAATCATGTTTTAGATCAGTGTCAGAACTACTTATCTTTAAGTCTGTGCAGGTTCTCTCTCATCCATGTCATGGTACATCTGTAAAAGAATATATCAAGGTAACTTGACTTGCTGTATGTTTTCATAAAGATGTTTTACTGGTCATCCAATTAGCTTTCTCAATTCTGAATTGAGGAAGCTAGTCCATGACCAGTGAAACATCTTTATAAAAAAATACAGCAAGTCTACTTGCCTTGATATATTTTTTACAGATATACTTAAGTTTAACTTCAGTGCTGTCGGAATCATTGATTCGAATGTATAAAGCATCAGAATGATCCGAATGTATAAAGCATCAGAATGGCAGTCATAGAACTAGCATTCTCAAAGGAGAGCTCATAAGAAATCCTAGTAATGACCTCCATTAGTCTCATGATGGTGGCCTTTTCAGCATTACATGCTCTATCCAAATTTGACACTTCAGCTTGTATTGGGCAGTTAAAATGTGCTGCTATGTCAGTTACGTATGCTCACGGAATACTCTGAAGCTGGGGAACAGTCTGTTTGGTCAGGCAGTTGACATGGGTGTGCCTACATCATTTTAATATTTGAATAAAGAGAATCATTCATAAGCATTGAACAGTCAGAATATTTAAACTCATCCTGTCGGGCATATACAAAATGCCCGCACCAACGATACAGCTTACGTGGTGCCTGAGTATACCTGTTTCAATCTGCAAAGAAATTTGTCTGTCTTGTGGAAGTCCTGGATCGTAGGCCCAGGCTCTACACAAGACTGTGACTTCTGGCCACACTGGCACTAAGCCCCCGTCACCTCATTTACGGTAACTGTCAAATGCCAGAGCCTGTACTTTTTTATTTATTTTTACCTGAGTTTTCCCCATTGGCATAGCAGGGGATAGAGCATGCAGCCTGGAGTGAGCAGAACTTAGTTTGGCAGCAGTGGAATCCCTGTGTACAGTCTGGGGCTTGGATGTATGAACTTGACAAGGATGTGTACAGTGATTTGAAGACTGATTTGAAGACTAAGGTCTCGTTCACACCTAGGTGTATTGCATATGCGCGTCTGTCGCGCGGTTTTTACTGCGATTCGCGGTAAAGTCGCGCGTTTCCGAAGGCTACTTGGCTGTATCCCAATGGAAACGCGCAACAAAACGGCCCAAAGTAGTACATGTACCTTTTAAGGCGTGGGCCGTTTTGTAGCGCGTTAGGGACGGGCGGAAATACGCCAAGGTTGGAACGAGACCATTGAATACAATGGGATTTATATTTTTGAGCGTTTTGTAGAGCGTTCGTCGAGCGTAGAACGCGCTACAAAACGTTCAGGTGTGAACGAGGGCTAAATCAAACTCTACAACTTTCCTGCACCTCAGCAGTATTTGCATTTATCATTGTTAGACCTTGACAGGTTCACTTTAAGGGACGATCCACTCCTACTCGTGTGCCCTGTACTATTGCTAGTCATTTGGATTTGCTCTGCAACAGCAATCTGTAATTTAAACATCTAAAATTGTCAAGCCAGGAAAACACTGCAAGCTTATTTAATAAAGGAGAGAGCAAAGTGCAGTAATATATGACAGCAATCAGAATTTATATTCTTGCCATCTGACCTTGGTATACAAATCATTTAGCTGGGGGGTAATGCACTTCATCTATGCTCTTTGAACTATCCTCCTTGAATAAGTTTTTTGTAAGCTCAATTGGTAAAGGAATGCAAATAGGACTTCTGGTTTTTAGAATGCAGTATCCCATGGCAACCTGTTGATTTTTTTTTTTTCTTCATTTTATTGCGCTCTTGACTGCTGAAAAATGGGAGTAGTTGCTGTGGGCATAATTGTTTCATCACCTTGGCCTCCTTTTTATATAAGCATATTGATGGTCTAGGGTTTGAGTTTGTTATTGCAGCAGCCAGATTGTTTCCCTGAACATTTTTCTCTTTGTTCTTACAGAGAACTATGCGCCCACCAGCTGAAATGATGCCAACGAACCCTGCAGAATTTGCTGCAAAACTAACGCTAGCTTTGGAAAAAGTTAAAAAACAAAGAGACGCAGAAGAAAAGCTGGAAGAAAGGCTGCAGAGGTTGAAAGAGGTAAAAATCTTAGAAAACTTCGGGAGGGGGGCAGTAGTTATCAGCACCAGCAGAAAAATGTCTGTGATCGTAGCATGCACCTGGCATTATGACATGTGACAAGTTGAGGCATGCAGGATTGTAGAATGCTACTGGAGTCGCCTTTGGCAAGGTTCTGCCCTAAAGATACAGGAGTAGCTTTAATTACTTTGTATTCTTCAAAAGGCAAACTAGAGATTGACGGTATGGCTTGGTTGAATTATGAAGGAAAATTTGGGGCTGGAATGTTGAAAGAAAACATTTTAAGAAAAATGCTTTTTGTCGTAACAGGAAGAAGAGAAAGCGGAATATGATATCCCTCCATCTAGCCACGACGCTGTGCCAGCTGCTTCATGTGAGGATGACCCACAGTCTATCCTGGATGACCATGTATCTAGGGTCTTGAAGACGCCAGCAAATCTGTCGCCTAGATCTCAATCCCCCTTCATTCAAAGAAAAGCCAAAGGTCAAGCATCATTTGGCAAAGGTCAAAGCTTAACTTCCTGTCACTTAAGGCCAAAAGCTCCCCCAGGAATGGAGGCGCCTGTCACACAGAATGTAGAACAGCGCAGTTCCATGAGGTATGTATGATCCTGTCAGTGAGTGGGCCTTGCTGTCTTGTGTGTGTTTTTTTTTTTTATTAGAATATCTTTTGCTTCAGGCTGGACTGCTTCTATAGAGCCCCATACTGATATTCTCTCATGCATTGTACGTGCCTTTAGACACCACTACATCATGCAGATTAGAATCAGCAGCTTACTGTATAGAATGTGTGTGGGGTTTTGTTTTTTGGGGGTTTTTTTAGTGCCCCTTCCCAAGTGGACACTTGTACCATCCTTACATCTGCATGCTTTTTCTGGGGTCTTCACTAAATTGATGACGCCCCTTCCATTTAAAATCATTTTTGTAAGCAATATTTTTTGGTAAACGTGTGTCCTATGGCAATGCTTATGTTTTATGTGCTTCTTTAGTTCCCAGGGAACCAGAAGTTGCAGAAAGCCAGAAGGCTGTGCGACCACATACAAGACAGAAGAAGGTCAATCCTCTGTTGGCCTGACCACCCCACTTTCCAACGAACAGGAAATAGAACGCAGCCACAGTGTTTTGCAATGGGTTCTTGAAAGTGCCAAAATGATGAAGAAGCATAATCGGGACGTTCCCACCAAGTAAGTGTAAACATATGCTACATGTGTGGGCATTGGAGCATACGTTGCATATGCTCAATATGGGATTTCAGACCATAGTAGATAAAGCTGATTGACTGCTAGAATTTTGAATTGCTAATGATGGAAATTATTGTTTTCTGCAGTGTAAACCACGCTCCAGAGTTAAAGAGGACAACACACCGTGCAGCATCTCAACCAGCACATCTGTTCCTGCAGGATACCTCTATGCCACCTCTTAATGCTCCTAATACCCTTGACCAACTGGAAGAAGCCCGCAGGCGCCTAGTTGAGGAAAAGAGAGTTCCTAAGCTTCATAAAAGCAGGTAAAGAACATTGCAAATGTGAAATAGTATTGTCCAAGTTGTTAGCCCCTGGGTTTTGTATGTCTTAAATACTCCAACAGCATGTTCTCCCTGCCATGATTCCAGATGGGATTTTTGGTTGTTCACACCCACATTTGCCTGTTCTAGGCTCTCCCGTTGCATTCTCCATAATATAAAATAGGTAATGAATCCACAGGGAGGGTGGGAGCCCTTCATAATGGTCACAGAAGGTGTACTATCCCAGGAACTGTGCAGAGACCTTGGTTGTTTGTCACCTTTTTGGCTTGCCACCAACATTGAGGGTAACGTCCCTTGATACAGTGTCTCAGCCTATAGGCTTTATTTATATTTTTACTGCAAAAAAAGGAAGTCAAATCTAGTAACCCCCCACTACCCAATCGTACAGTCTTGCATATTTTGAAAAGCAAAATCCACTGAAAACTTTTGAGTCACTGCTCCTTCCATTAGGCCGCATTGAATGCATCGCTTTCTGGGAATTAGATTTCCCTACAATACTTTTATTCTGTGGAAAACCTACATTCACTTGGCTTTGTAATAGTTGTGGGATAGCATTGGACATTCTGTTAGATCTTTCCACTTGAGTTTCAAACAGATATAGGAAACCAGTGTGAGATTCACCTGCTGGCAACCATGCAATACTGAAATAGGCTGTAGCCTTTAATCTGCTGAACACTATTGTTGGCGTATGCAGTCCCTGGACAACACTGTTTGTACTGTAGCTTATTGTAAGGTTATATTGTCTATCTTGGCTACTCAATGGCCAGGTACAAGTGAAATAATTCACAATATTTAAATAGCAGCTAAAGATGCTAGTTTGCATTTAGTGTGCAGATAGTGTGCCATAAATATACCCCATCATGCATCTCTCCTAGCTGTTGAGGTGCACAAGTTTAATACTGTTTATTTGTACTCCAGGTGTGTGCAGTCTGCAACGCTGAAAGAAAAAAGCAAAACTGCTGAGAGCATCTCTTCCGGCTTCTCCACACTGAAATTCTCTGAAGAGTAAGTACCTTGTCTGTGATCTCATGCCATCTCTGCTGTTACCCTTGTGCAGAAGCTAAGAATAAGCATGTGTCTGTTTTTATATTTGTGTGCTTTTGTTCTGTTTGTACTGAGCTCCTTGGCTCATAGCTTTTGAAGTGCAGAGCTCTGACCACAAGGCTGTATGGTGTGTGTAATGTTGACTGCAAGCCCAAGCAGTCAACATTACACAGGCAGTGACATTCTCTGTCGTGCTTAAAGTGAACCTTTCATGTAAAAAAAGTTTTTCTCAGCTAGCACTGATCTTTTATGTGAGCAGTCCCACCATGTAATGCGGGTACCTACATAAGAGGGCGTTGTGGGACAACAGAGTAAGCTAGACCTCACTTAAGACATAGAGGAAAGAGGTAGGCCATCTGGCTGCAAGTGCCAGGCTTTGGGGCACCAAGGAAGGTACCCTATAACTGCGAGTTCAGCAGAAGGCTAGGGATGCACAGATACTTTTCGAGTACCAGTGCCGATACTTGGCATTTTCAGGAGAACTACCAGGGTTGCAGCTGGGATCGGGCTCTGGTGCTCCACCACTGTTCTGAAATCATTAGTCGATATTGTTTTAGAAAAACTCACATGACAATAAACAAACAAATGTATCAGTACTTGTAAGTACTAGGGCAAGTATCAGTACTTGTACTCGCAAAAATGGTATCGGTACATCCCTTTATATTTATAAAAACAAAATCATACATTAAAACAGAGATGTACACATCCCAGGAGCTCTGTGTGCTCCTTACAAATGACAGCTGCCTCCTAATTTTTGAATTTTTCTCTAGTCTTGGAGCTCAAAAGGTATCTGTACATGTACCGAGTACTGTACTTATCGGTGCATCCCTACACAAGACCATCAGTAGAAGTGATTGCCACTTGTTTTACAGAAAGTTAATGAACCCAAGTCATAGTGCAGGCAGAGATCCGGTTGCCTCCAGGACACTGCAACACAAATGAACTGCATGTGTAAGGTACCCTCACTCAATTCTATTTTACTCATCCAAACATTTTGTGTTTTGTAGGCTGAAGTCCACTAAAAAGATGAGCATCGATCAAGGACAAGGAGGTTTAGCGATTGTCTATTATTTCTGTGGAGAAAGAATCCCTTATATGATTCGAACAAAGGAGCCAAGCTTGACTTTGCAAGAATTTAAAGAGCTGCTGAGTAAGAAGGGAAGCTACAAGTAAGTATCCAATCTGATTTGTAATGTTGCAGTTTTTTCAAATGTAATACAGTAGTGCAAAAGGCAGAAAAGTGCATTCATTTGTGGCAACCATTGGAAAATCCCCTTTCGAGTGTAAGACTAAAAGAAAGCTGGCCATTTGATTTTGATGTGGACCACCAATGCCGCCTCAACCATTTATTAAATGAATGCATTATTTGACTTGTATTGCATCTTTCACAGCATTATGTTTGCCAGATAGTAATCTCCTACTTATTATTTCCAGATATTACTTCAAGAAGGAGAGCCAGGAGTTTGAATGCAACGCTGTATTCCAAGAAATCTCCGAAGAGGATGCCGTGCTACCACTCTACGAAGAAAAGATTATCTGCAAGGTGGAGAGAGCATGTTGAATGTACACTTGACACAAGTGAATAGCATTTTAGTGCTGCTCATAGATGTGAAATCTTGCTGGATAATGGACAATGCAGCAAGCTGAACAAGATGGAAGCTGAGAAGGACAAAATCTGGTGATCTTAAGTGATTGCAGCGACTTAATTGTGGAAGTATAAATGGAATGGCTGCTTAGAGAAAAGAGACAAAAGGAAGTCGCCCAGTCGTTGGTCATAGTGCAGGGATGCAGTATGTGAAGAAGATTGTGATCTCGTACTGTGGATAACCGTACAGAGTTCTGCTTGAACAAAAACTGAACTTGATATGGAAGTGGAAGCATGTTTTCCTGGTGCAAAAAAAATGGAAACACTCACTTCCTGAATGTTTAAGGCCACTAAGTATATTCAGGTACATTATATGTACATACTTCAGTGTATTTATATAGCACATAGCTTTTTTATTATTATTATTTATGGACAGGATTGACTTTGCCATATAACATAGAGCATTTCCTGCTATGTTTTGAATTACCACTATGAAATCCAATATTGCAAATCTATGGATAGTTGAGCACCCTTACTACAGAACCTGAAGAGAGGAATGTCATTGATCAGTTGTGTCTTACACGGAAAGAAAAAAATGGACCCTACGGATGGGGGAAAAAAAAAAGAAATCACATTTAAACTTGCCATCAACATTTAAAGAGTAAAAGCTTTCCTGTATATTCAGCTGACGCTGAATATTGATGACTTATAGATGACCGCTACGTTAGGATACGCTTTTATTTCTGGTTATCAAGCTATGCAAAACAGTTGCTCCAAATGCTGCTAATTCAGATTGCTGGTGGTATTCTTGTCTCCTTTGTAAAGCAAGAATTCACAGCTAGTACTGATCAGAGGGATGTTGCCATCTGACGTTTTTACTTTAAATCTATTTTGAATACTTTTCTTTTTTTTTTTTTTTTTTTACAGCTAAATTTACATTGTGGTACTAGTTTTATTAGAGGTATATCGACCCTCTGTGTTCTTTTATTTGTAATCGGAGGGTCTGATCAGTTTCTCCTTAGATTTGTTCTGTTTTAGGAACAGATTAGACCTATTATGTGAAGTCTTTTTGGATCCAGCCTGAAAGGAATGAGTTTGTAGAGCGATAGGATTTATTTTCTTCACTGTGATCCTGTTGAGCGGAATATATGGACAAATATAACAAGCCATAGCAACTAATTCTTATACTCTGTTTTAAGGGTTGATTTTTCTCCCTTAATTATCTTTAAAGGGTTTGATTGCCTTCTGTACATACTGTAAAAGCACAAAAAGAAAAACATGCCTTTTATTTAAGCAATAATAGAAGTCCTGGGCATTTTATAGGCGTTTTAAGCCTCTTCCATACTCTGAAGCCCTGTATGACGTCTGTACTTATCAATATCATCTGGACCCAAAGGATAGTCTTGTACCGGGCTGTCCACCTAAAGTGCTCTGGCTATATCCAGACAAAAACTTTTGTTGCAGATACATTGATTTTGCGTATGGAGATCGATTTGATCCCTTAATGCATTTACCTTCTGTCCTTTTGTAATGGAAGTGCAGCTACTGTTCAACCCAGTGCCCATGTGCCTCTGTACTTCACATCTGATCCATCCTCCTGCAGGGTATAATGCTGAAAAATCACAAGCCCTCTTCTTCCCCCCTAAAGCTGGCCATACACCTTTAAGGTGCCCACACACCTTACGATAATCGCACGACAGTCGCGGAAAAACCCGCGATCTTACGATTATCGTAAGGTGTGTGTGGGAGCCGTGCTACCTCTGCTACTGTAAGGTCACACGACTTTTATCTTAGGAACAGGTTCGAAAACCTGCCAAGAATCGTACGTTTTTCGGCGGGTGTGTAGCATGTTCGTAAGATAAAAGCCGGACACTGCCCCTTCAGCATTGCAGTCATCGGGAGCCCGCCCCTCAGCGGGGGGGGCTTGCGATCATCGCAAGTACGATCTGCCTGTCCAAGATAGGCAGATCGTACATTTCTTTTAAATTACCTTACAACCATCGCAAGACAAAAGTCTTGCGATGGTTGTAAGGTGTGTGCCCAGCCTTCCAATTTATCTGCAGATTTTCTGTGGTCAGATGGAAAAGGTGCAACAGATTCCTCCATCTACACTGAACTGTGTGGATGGAGTAATCTCCACCTGTTCCAATCTGTTGTATGGGCACCTTAAGACTTCCAAAGTCTCTCCTCTGGCACAGAGGCACAGGGAACCATATAAGATTTTATGGTGCCATTTTAGCCACACATTGTGTCTTTCGCAAAGGTTTAGAAGTCGTCTTTTTATTCATGGTATAATGGAGGATCAAGCCAGAGAGAACAGAGTTGGACAGCACTGGTGTAGTAGGTACAACTTTCAATTAAAAAATTTGGGAATTTTCACTCTAAACCACTGTAAATTCAGTGATATGTGAATGCCTATGTTAGTGGTGCCTGGTGGACTGTTCACATAACGTGGAAGGTCTGCGGTTTTGGGGGTGCAGTAAAATGCAATATTTGTGGTGCAGCACTTGCCATGTAACCAGTGTTTTCTTGTCTGGTCCCTGTAGAAGTTGAATGTGTTGATCTCACAAATTCTAATTAGTTCTTTGTCTGTTCTAAATAAGCAGCTCAAAACACTTTTGATTAGAACAGACGAACACTTTATCCTAAACTGGAGCTGTTGGGATTATCTGTCCTTTCTTGCCTGTCCATTAAACTGCCCTCCCTGTCATGATCTGCTGCCATCAGATGATGAGCTGTAAAGTTTGCAGGATGAAGAGCAGATCACATGGAACTTCTCTCTGCAAAAACTATAGTAACCAGAGCAAGAACCGTGCCTGATTTGCCTTTTAATTTCTTCTGTGCCACGCTTAGACTAGCCATCCAGCATGTTCTCACAGTGCCAAAAGCTGATGCATTTTACATGGCAAGGTTCAAATAGTATTTTTCATTTTTTTCATCAGGAATGTCCTACAAATCAGTAGAACTGTCAAAGCCTTCAATATATTTGCATTACCCTTCTAATCTGGCTCAAAAGTGATTTTCCAGCAGCTGAAAAGTGCAGTTATTCAGCAATTTATGTGATTAGTATTACGGATTTCTGAAATGCGTCATTTTTCAGCCTTTCACTGACCACATTGATGGGCAGTGAATTTATGTTACACCAGGATGACCTTAAAATTAAAAATGCAAAATTTCGCTGGTTGAGATGCAACTGCAAAAAAAATGGCATTGATTTAAAAAGAAAAATGTAATATCCATATAATAGGAGTTTGTAAATTTTTTTCTCTTTTTAATCGATGCCATTTATTTTTCCTGGAATGCAATTGTAAATGTTTTATAAATATTAAGACAACTATTTAATTCTTATTAATAAAGTATTGTTATCATCCTGGTAACATGGTTGCCAGGATAATCTGTACTTAACACCTGTTTTAAAGGTGTTAGGAAATCAAGTCGGCTGTTACAGGGAAAGAAATTGGAAAAATAAATCGGATTTAATACCTGTAGCAGCAGATGACATTGTGGTAGCCAATCATTTTTGCCAGCGGTTTTATACAGCAATTCATATTTTTATATCTAATTATATACAAGTGTATAAATATAAATACATTGTTTTATATATTTCAGAGTGATTAATTAAAGGTGTATAAAATTAAAAGCATTTTCCTATTCTACAAAATGTAAAAATGAGCTGAAATAAAGTTATATTTTTTGAAACCTTCCTGTGCTATGACTTTGGTGTGTGAATTTTTAAGAAAAAACTGTCATGACCTAAAATGAGTGCTGTAATTTGCTCAATCTAGTTCCTTAAACTGTTCATCCTTTGATGTTTGCGTGATCATAGAGCCTCTGCCGTCTGTGTCAGACGTCTCGCCCTGCATATAGCACTGGGTAACAGAATACTGCCTAACATGCCATGTTTTACAGCAGCACTTCTCAACCTTTTTTTTTTTTTTTTAGACAAGGCACCCTTTAAAGGAATACAAAATTTGAGGCACCCCAGTCTAAAATGTAAATATTGTAAAAGATGTGTGGCCCCCAGATATAGGGGTCTGGTATTCATGGGGTAAACCCCATGCAAAAACAAATGGGATCCCCTCTTTCACATCAGCAACATAGCTGAATCTCTCTCTCTCCCTGGGTTAGCATCTTTTGTTTCCATGGTGCTAGTAAAAATTTCAAGGCACCCTGGTTTAGAGACTGTATGGTTATTTGGTTAGGGCTAGAGCTACAGCGCAACATAATCGTGTTACTCAAATCACTTGTAATTGATCACTAAAAGTTAGTAACTTGTCACTAAAAACTGATGCAGTGACTCCCTATGCTGTGAGCGGCATAACTAGCCTGTTGTAATTACATTTGCATGATCGCATATGCACCAATGATCCCCACTACATGCTACTTGCTTGATGAGGTGCATTTACACCCGAAAAACGTTTGATCTATTAAATACACCATTGAAAGTATTTACTTGAATCTGTATAACAAGTAAAACCTGTTATGGTAATGTCCTAAGATACTTCCTGTCCTGGGATGACAATTCTGCTCCTCCACAGCCACAGTACAGTGAGTGAGCGTTGTCACCCTACCACAGAGGGTGACCAGTTGAAAATAAAGGGGGGGGGGGGAAACAAAACTAATGTGGCCACCACATTACAGGACTGGTAAGCTGCAATATTATACAATTTTGTTCTTGGGTCTAGATTTTAAGCCACTAAAAACCTCTGATGCAGCTATAACTGTACACATCACATGTAATCAAATGCGGACGGGAGCGTGCAGGGAAGACACAGGTAAGTTTGAACCGCTGTTAAAGCGTTTTTGTTTTTTTTTTACTTTTTGCATAGATCTACTGCTTGCTAGCGTTTTGGGGTCCAGATACTCTCCCTTTATCAGGGCCCCATATAATGAGAGACTTGAATGGACTTGAAGAAAAGCTTCCAATATTCTGTGCAAAATGATTTTACTGGCTCAAAAAGCAAGTAATGCCACCATTGATGGCAGTGATAGTGGTGTGTACTTTGAGTGACCTGAGCATTCCAGTTTCTTGTTGTAAGTTGCCTAACAAGAGCCAGTGAGCTTTCCATAGGATCATTTTCCCTTTTACAGCCTTATATGAATGAGAATTGGAGTCCCAATGCCTCTTGGTCGTTTTTCACCTTTGCAATCTGTTTGCATACATAAAATTAGTGTGCTTTTAATTGAGAAGTGCAGCAGTATTTGACATGTCTGGTCACAGCAGCTAAAGCGGATGAGGAAGCATCAAACTGCATTGTGTGTGATGGCTAATGTCCAGAAGCCACAGAATCGAGACATTGTTTGACGCACACCACTTCCTGCAGCAGGCCCAAAACTTTATAGTTTTTTTGTTTTATACAGACGTTTGTAAATAGTATTCCACTTGGCATGTTTCTTTTTTTTTTTTTCTTCCACTGAATTTTGCCTGGAGTTCTCTTACAGGTATGTTTAAAAGGAAAAATATTGACATCTTCACAGAACAATGAAAGGCTTGGCTTAATGGTATTAAATGGAGCCTGTAATGGATAAGCTTTACTGCACTGCACAGGAGCACAAAGTCTCATTGTTATGAACTTAAGCCACTCCTTTTGTATGAGCCATTA